AATAAATATTCCATATATAATTGCACCAGGTGAAGCTGAAGCACAATGCTATCAACTTGAACATGATGGTTTATGTGATTATATTGCAACTAATGATAGTGACATCTTTGTTTATGGTGCTAAGAATGTCATTACTAACTTATTCACTTCTTCTCATCCTATTTTATATTCTGCTTCAACTTTTGACTATTCTCTTGACCAGATTCGCCTCTACTCACTTCTTGTTCCTTCTGACTATTCTAACGGCTTTCCTAATGTCGGTCCAATTACTGCTAAACACATCATTACCTCTTGTCACTCAATCAATGACTTCCTTATCTCTCTTTCCTCTCACTCTTCTCCTCTTCTCTCTTCTCTCAACTCCCATCTTCCTCCTCACTTCCCTGACCCCTTAATTCTTTCTCAATTCTCTTCTCCTAATGTCCTTCTTTCTCCTTCTCTTCCTCTCTCCCCTCTTCCTTCTCTTTCTTCTCTTTTTCTTTATTCTAAACATTCTCTACATTGGTCTTCTTCTCTTCTTCTTCGTTATTTCCCTTCTTTTATTTAGCTAGATGTGGCTTACGTTTTGTTTTTTGAAACGGGATTTTTATTCAAATAATTCACTTATTGAGGTATAAATATTTTTTTTGTTTTTTAACATAGTTTTTTGTAATAAAGTTATAATAAAGTATATTTATCTCTAAAAACAAGAAAGTAATGACGAAAGAAAAATTTAAAACATTAAAGGATTAAACTTAAAAGATAAATAAATAATTTGATGGGAGATGACCTTGAATTAGAGTTTAACCCTGGCGATGTTGAAATACCATTGCTTGTTCGCTCTGAATTTTTTCAACCTTTAATTCAACAGGAAGGTGGTATTGTTCATTTACCGTATGACACATTAAGAATGATTGCAAGTAACTTAGATTATGACTCATTTGTAAATTTTACGTCAACATGTAAAACATTAAATTCACTTGAAAAAGATGCGGAGGTAGTTCGTTCAGTTTGCGGTATTGCTGATACAAGCACTTCTATTGACAGTTGTATTGACTCAATTAAAAATAAAAAAGAGATTGCAAAGACACAGCGTGAACGGTTATTAAAACAGAAAAAGGAAAGAAAAGAAGAGTTTATTTTTGAAACTGTGTTATGTCAAAGACGATGTTCTTCTAATATCCTTTTTGAAAGTGTTGCATTAGCTTTTATTTTTATTTCTATGATTATTGGTCCATTATCTGCGGATAGATCAATTGATGTTTCAATGAAAGTTGTTGGATGGTTAATGTTAATTCCAACTATTTTCTATGGTATTTTACCACATTTCTTGTGGTGTTGGGGATGTATGACTTTTGTAAAAAATGATATGGTAAATGAAAATCGGGATGTTAAAGTGTATGGTGGAGCTTATGATTATTTTAATCAGTTATGGTTATGGTCGAATAAAGGTGGTTTTAGACATTCAAAATTTAGCATTATTATTTATTCATGGGTTTTATTTATGTTATGGTGTTATGATATTATAAACTTTGGGTATGTATTTATACCAATTATAATATACTGTTTGTTATATCCATGCATTGGTATCATTGATTGTAATCCCTATCAAAAGGAGGATTGTAAGTGTGCTATTAGTGGATGGAGATGTTTAATGTATGGACCAACAACATTTTTATTATTTATTGGTTTTTTCTTAGTGATGTTAAGATGTTTTTCAGTTATAGAAGGATATTATACTCTTTGTGTTCTTCCTATTATTATAGCCGCAATTTTGTATCCAGTTTTGTACTGTTGTAAATGTTGTTGTGATGTTGAAGCAAGTTCTTGTTCTTGTAATGATAGTTTTATTAAACATTTCCAAATCTATGATACTAAAAAATATGAGAGTGAGTCTGTAATGGCAGCAGTATTTTGTATTGAATGGTGGTTAGTTATGCCAGGGATAATTATATTTGTAATATTGATATCAGTTTTATTGGATGGGTATGCAGATTGGTCATTTTCATTAGTATTTTTGCCTGCATGGTATGTCTTTGGTTTTTATATTATAGTAACCCAACTCACTGTTTTTATTACTGAGTGTAGATTTAAAGGGGCGTTTCAGTGTTGTCCTAAGTTATTCCCAAATAATTATAATATAATGAGACACATGTGTTGTATTGAATGTACCTCTGATGGATGTTCCGAATTTCTCAGTTGTTGTAGTCCATGTTGTGAATGGTGTTGTAGTAATTGTTGCAATGACTGTGAGTGTTGCGAGAATTTCTGTGAATGGTATTGTGAGAATTGTTGTTGTTGTTTTGATGAAATGTGCAGTTTTCTTTCAAGTTGTTGTGATTGTTTCTGTGACTTTCTTTGTGATACCTTGTGTTGTTGTTGTTAAGTCACTACTTTTCAGAGTTTTATTATTTTGTTCATTAGAGTTGAAACAATAAAATGAGTATTGAAAAAGAAAGATTCATTATTTTTTAATTCATTTTCTTTAGAGAAAAACTAAAAAATTAAATTAAATGCAATCAAACTCTGTAAAAGTAGAAAAATTAATTGAATCAACTACAAGTTGGGATGGTACTTCATTACCAAGTTATCCAGATGGTCAACCAAAAATTAGTGTTATGAAAATTATTATCCCACCCCATACTCACTTAGAAAAGCATCACCATCTTGTTATTAATGCAGGTGTTATAATTAAAGGAGAATTAACAGTTATTCTTGAAAATGGAAAAGAACAAGTATTTTCCGAAGGAGAGGCTATTATTGAAGTAGTTGGTAAAATTCATTATGGAGAAAACAGAACTGATGAAAATGTTATTTTGTTAATGTTTTATGCAGGGAATGAAACTCTTCCATTGACTGAACAACAATAAACCAAGAAAAAAGAGAGAATTTTAAATAATCTTCTATTTTTGATTAATTTTATTATAAGTATAGTTTTATATTAATTTAATAATAGAACTAATAATCTTCTGAAGGTTCATAATGAGTATTCAACATTATTATAAACAACGATATCAATTATTCTCTTTGTATGATAAAGGTATTTTGATGGATGAAGAGGCTTGGTATTCTGTAACCCCTGAATCTATTGCAAAACATATTGCTCAAAGAGTTCAACAACGATTATTTTTTTTAAATAAACCTATAAAAGTATTGGATCTTTTTTGTTGTGTTGGGGGAGATTCTATTCAACAAGCAGTAGCTGGAAGTTATGTCACATCTGTAGATTTTGATCCAATTAAATTAGAATTACTTGAACATAATGCACAAATTTATGGTGTTGCTAATAAAATTAAAACAGTTAATGAAGATGCCTTTACGTTTATTAAAAGAGTAAATGAAGCTGATTTTGATGTTATTTTGATTGCACCACCTTGGGGAGGACCAACAAAATGTAGAAATAAACGGTCTCTAAATCAGTTATTTGATGGGTTGCAACAGTTATATCAAACTTGTGTTAATAAATGTCCAAATGTTATTCTTTATTTACCTAAGGATATGGACCCCCAAGACATTATCACTCAAATAGACTTTCCATTTGAAAGAGTTGAATATTCTTTTGGAGACCATAAAGTGATGCAAGTATTATTGACAGGGGCTCTGATTGTTAATTGAATTTATGTGTGAATAATGTTTACTTCATTTTATTCATAAAATGAATGAATTGTCCTATGCCTTCTCATCTCAAGAAGTTTCTTATAATTCTCAATTATGTGAATGTTGTAATCCATGTTGTTTACTTTTATTGATGACTTGACTAAATCCACTAATACTATATCTTCCTTCTTGATGCTGAAAGAACTTTATCTGTATAACTTAATACTTAATAATAAGTCAAAATATTATTCTTGGAAAAATCATACATATTCACGTTAGTAATTATCAAAACTATTTCCAAAGAGCTATATTAATGAAGATGACCCATTTCCATATTCTAAGTTTTTGTTTGGTTAGGACAGTCTCTTAAAAAAAAACTGAATAAGAAACCATGGGTATTTAAGTATTTATAACAAGAACAATGTAACAAATTTAAAATGTGTATAAAATAATAAAAAGTAATAAACGGTTTAAAAGAATTATATGTAATTTACCATCAAAGGATATAATACGAATAATAAAAGAAGTTTGGTATTAAACAAATTAATTTCATATGAACTAGAAATAATTAATAATAAAAATTATTATAATGAAAACTATTGCACTACTCACTGACTTTGGATATGGAGAATATGTTGGAATTATGAAAGGAGTTATTGCAAACCATTGTCCATGTTTAGTTAATGTTATTGATATTAGCCATGACATTTATCCACAAAGTATTTTACAAGCCTCATGGATTTTAAGTACTGCTATTCCTTATTTTCCAGATAACACAGTGTTTGTTGCTGTTGTTGATCCAGGAGTAGGTGGAGATAGGAATGCAGTATTAATTAAAACGAAAACCATTACATTAATTGGACCAAATAATGGTATTTTTACTCATTCATTACAACGTTGTAACTTAGAAATAGAACATGTTTATGTTTTAAATGTTCAAAACGCATCATCAACTTTTCATGGAAGAGATGTCTTTTCATTAAATGCTGCTCGATTTGTTTTTGATGGTTCAATTAATGGAATCGAGTCTAATGAAAAAATATATCAATTTCCTTTAGTCAAAACAAAAAATATTGTTACTATTGTCTCTATTGACCATTTTGGAAATATTATTTCTGATCAAGAAGGTGATTACAATTCAATTCAATACATTCAAACTCAGAATAAAAGAGAACCAATTCATTTTGTTTGTACTTATGAAGAAGGTGCAAAAAAAGGATATTTTCTCATTGGATTAATTGGAAGTAATAAAACCTTTGAAATATCAATTGTAAATGGAAATGCTCAACACTATCTTAATGTTCATATTGGGGATCAAATAAAATTAATCTTTTAGTCTTTTTGGTTTTTTTTAGAGTTTCACCTAGACAGTCGTTAAAGAAGAGATTCATAAGTTATAAACATTCATTTTAATAATAAAGTGGGAAATTTAAGAAATTAAGGGGAAAGACATTTAATAAAATTGAATAATTCCTAATTAACACTTAAATACTTTTTTATTGTTAAAATTAAATTATTGAAGACTATTTTATGTTAATGAAATGTCATAATAAACACTTTTCATAGATTTTAATTAAATGAAAATATTGATATAAAATATCATATTAACAATTAAGTCTAACTTGTATAAACAAAAATATTTATTGTTATTATAAAACAATAACCTGTTTTATCATTTACTTAGATTTAATCAATTAAAATGAGATTATTCTTTTAATTAAAAAATAAATCAAGATATTTTGATTGATAAATAATACTCTTATTTTTATTTTATTTTTAGAATATATCCAAAGTGGAATAATAATAACTGTTAATAAACACAGAAATGATTTATTGACAAATTTTATTCTCATTATTTTTGTTTAAATGGGTAAAGTAACAATAATTCTAAATTATAACTATTGTTTGAATAGGAAACAATTAAAACTTTTCTATAATATTAGTATTATAAAAATATAAAATTATGTATCAAAGTGGGATTAGATTTAAGAATTATTAAATGTTACTATAATGGATTATTCTTAATACATTATAGTATTAACAACTTAATAAATATATTAAGAATTAAATAATAAAATTTTTTAAATGCTAAAATTATCTTATAATTTATTGTGTTTTTCAATATAAATTAAATAATTAAGAAACTAAAAAAGAGTTTAGTAATGACAAATATTCAGATATTGAATAAATAATACATAGTAAAAAAGTGTAAATATTAATATCATATAAATTAGTAAATGAAAGTTTTATATTTTTTATTAAATTTTATAAAATTTAAATATAGTACATAATGTTCAATTTGAATAGTTATAGTGTAGTTTATATGAAAAATCATATTTAATCATTTTTATATAAAAATATTCCAAAGGAGATTTATAACTGTTATAATTGAGTCACAAATTTTATTTATGAAACTAATTTTCAATTTTGGATGTGCCTATCATTTCTTCACCTGATAATTTTCTTGAACAACCTATATCTTAAAGAAACATAGAAAGCATAAACTATAGGTATTGAAAAAAAGAGTGATGAGTAGTAATAATACTTAAATTTTTTACGACATTCTTCATTTTAAAATTCTAAATTGTAGCTAAAAATTTAAACTTATAAATTCCATAAATTTTCTTATTTAAATAAATAATATCAAACTTTTATTATGATACTACTATTGTTTGGGTTCATTCTAGTAATAAAATTAATATAATTGCCTAAAGGCTAAACGTTATTTTTTAGGTTCAACTCTAATATTGAAACAAGTTAATAAAATAGATTAGTAAAAACACAATCAAAAATATGATCTTCTCAAACAAAGAAATTTAAAAGATGCTAATAGTTTTAAGAAACTTAAAGAGTGTGAAAATAAGTTACTAAAAAAAACATAAGAAAGAATAGAAAGAATATAAAAAATCTATATAATTTAATTTGTATGTAATAAAAACTTTAAATATATTTTTGTTTTATATTTGAGGTAATATTTAAAAAAAAAAGGAATGAAAACCATTGAAAAACTTTTGTTATACGGTTATATAACATCATATTATAGGAATTTTTGCATTTTTATTGATAAATAATAAAAAAAAACAAAATTTAAATAGATTTATATTTCGATTTTGTTAAAATTAATAAAATAAAACTATAAAAATTTCAAATAGTATAAGTTGTTAAAAATAGAAATATATTTATTTAGCTATTAACATAAATTAAAGATCTTTTAACAAATGAATAAAAGAGGTCAATTATTAGATATATCCATAATTGGATTTTCTTCATATTGAGAAGTGATTATTGCAGTTTCTTCAATATGCTCTATTGATGTAATAGAGTTAAAGATCTTTTAACAAATGAATAAAGAAAAGGAATTTCTTTTTATTTTTCAAGTTTGCATTATTTATAATGAAACAACTCATTATAAAGAAGATTTTATAACAACAAAAAATAATAACGGTTATGTTTCAATAACGTTATGAATAATTTCATATGAGATATTAATTATTTTTTAAATAAATTATTAAGGGTTATAAGGAGAGAATAATAATTACTTTAAATTTAATAGGGAATTAAAGAGAATCATTAGACTAAGACATAAAAGTTTATTAAAGAATAAGCTTCATATCAAAAAGGATTCATACAAGGATTGATACTTTCATACATAGGAGTAATAAATAGATTAAACTAATTGATTGAATTTTTAGTTATTCGTAATAACTCTTCTATTTTTATCGTTATCAAATAAAAAATGACTTAATTCTTTTCCTATTTTTTCATAACTTCTTGAATGTTATTGACTTGTTTTAATTTATTTTAATAAAAAGAATTGCATGATAGTAAATAAACAGAAAATGAATATCATAAATACATGAAATATGTGGTTTGTTCTTAAAAATTACAACCTATTCATTTGTTTCGGAGAAACAAACTGAGTCTCATAAAAAGAAAATAATAACAAAAGAAGAAAAATAAAAATTTTACGAACATTCTTATTGCAAAGAGAAGGAAGATAAGAAAAATATATTTTTGAGAGAAGTTAGTATTTATAGATAAACCTCTTCGTTTTATCAAATGTTCAGGTATTAACTGACATAAATTTCCATAATAAATTAAAATAAGATATAGTTGTTAGAAACTATTTAAAATACTCCTTCTTAAAAACATAGATTCTTTGGTTAGTAATTCTCATAGACCCTTTATATATCTCGAAAATAATAAATATCATGTCTATTTCTGCAAAGGATATTTCACCAAGGTATTGCTTAGTAGCTGGTATTGATAATATAAGTTTTAGTCAATTGGATATGACTATAGAAGAATATAGTACTAATCATCATTCGAAAATGTATTCTCCATCAATTTCACCAACGTTATCAAAATCTTTTAAAGAAGAAGCTACAAGTCTTAAGAAGAAAAAACGATTAAGTGGATTGTCTTCATTATTTGTTAAAAGAAAACCTGACCGTTCTGTAACCCCACCAAATAGAATTGAACAACAACGAATGGTTATTAATTTATTAAAGAATACTTGTGACAAATACAAAAGTGTAATAGATTTAGTAAAAAAATGGAAATTTGTTGTTGTAGAAAACATTGACATTTGGGAATTTACAGACGATAGAATGGTTTTTTGGAGACAAGACAGACTAAATAGAGAAATTATTATATTAATAACAAATCTTGTTATTGAAAAGAAAATGCCATTAAATTACGCACAAACTATTTTATTTGGAGAAGGAGAAGAGATAGGTGAAAGAGAAACAACTTTACTTAATTCACTTCTTCAAAATCATGAAAAGATTTTTGATACACAAGGAGATCCATTCTTTAGTAATGATGGAAATATTTTAACTATTTCACCAAAAAAATTATTTGAAGGAGCACTAGATATTTATGAAGTTCATGGACTTCTTCCATTATTTACAAAAATATATCAATTTGTTGGGAAAGAAAAATTGTTTTTAGAATGGTGTTGTGAAATTGCAAAAAAAATAGAAAGTTATGCAACACAATATGGAGAAATACACTGTGTTCATTTGAAAAGAAAAATTTTAGAAATACTTGTTAAAAATTTTTTGGAAACTTTAGATGAGGAATTACCATTAAATGTTAAAGATGATTTGAGAAATTGTTTTAATAATTGTCATTATAGTAGGACTATTAGAAATTATGTTCTTAATTTATTTGGAGAAAAGTTTAATGAAGAAGTTGATATTAGTTCACCAGTTTCAATAATAGTTACAGATAAAGATAGTTTGGTTCTGAAGAAAGAAAAAAAAACACCAAGAAATAAACACACATCAAAAAGTCATATTTATAAATCAACAAAAGGATCTCCTCATGATTCATTAAAAGAACCAATTGGAGATGATCCATATATAAGTTATGTTACAGATGAAAAGAGTATTGTAAATGTTTATGTTGATAATATATTAACTATTCACCCTCAAATACTTGCACAACAATTAACAGTTTATGATTCATTTAATTTTGAAAAACTTAAAATTTGTGAATTTAATGAAAAAGAATTAACACATACATTTGTTTCATATCAAAAAAGATTAGATGTAATTATTTTATTAATAAAAAAATTAATAACTGATCAAAGTTCTCTTCAATATTTTATTACAGTTTCAAAAGAATGTTTAGTAATTAATGAATTTAATCTGTCTCATATTATTAAAATAACTGTTGATGAAAAAATGAAAGAACTAAAATTAAATGAGTCACAATTAAATAGTAATTCTTTAGATGCTTATAGACAAATTAATGAATTATTCTCTTCTGTTAAAAATTATAATAATTATAAAAAAGAATTAAATTCATTAATTTCAATAACACCAAGAATACCAGTATATTCATTTTGGATTAATGATATGAATGGGTTTGAAATATCTTCAATTCATGATGATCCTTTTGGAATGGTAGATTTTCAAATTTTGACAGATATTGCAGACTATGTTAATTTAATGACGGTAGCTCAAAAAATTCCTTTCCCTTATTCTGTTAATCCTTGTTTCCAATTTTTCTTTCATTCGTTACTCTAAATTATTAGTACATATAATTAAAAAAAAAAAAAGAAAGAAATGCACACTTTTTATAATTTAAATTAGATTGAAATTGATTTTTAGTTTATAAATTTCAATTTTTAGTTGTTTGTTTTTAAAAATTCTTTTGTTCTTTTTTTTTCCATGAAATCTTTTCTTATAAAAATTATGTCTTTTTTTTTTTAAATGAATTTTCTAAAAAAATCGATTAATTCTTTTTAAAAAATTCCATTGAAAATGACGCCATGCTTTTATCAAATTTTTAATAATAAAATAATTTTGAATATAAACTAATAATTCTTAAAATGGGAAATTTATTTTTAGTTGAGATTGAATTGAAGTTACTATTTTTTTATTTTTGACTAATTATATTTATTATATTTTAATTCCTTTTTGTTAGAGAATAAAAGACAAATTTGTTTAATAAAATTACTATGACAACCAGAAGAGTTTATCAAATATAAACAGAGTGTAATGTAAGACTATTGTTAGAACCTTAAAGACAAATGAAGTTTATTTACATTGACTGGACAATAAAAATTTGAAAAAGAAAATTAAATTCATATATAACACTAACTATACTTTGAACAAAGAAACTTAGAAGATAAACCAAGATGAAATTAACTTTAACTAATATACAAATATCATTAAAACAAAATTTTTTCAAAAATAAAAGAAAGAAAAAGATTAGAAAATATATTTTTTATATATTTTAATATTATTAAGAAAATTATTTAAAAAAATATGATTATTTCATGTTCTAAGTTATGAGTATTAAATCTTTCATATTGTTTAGTTTAATATTATTTTCAATCTTTTGAATAGTGCTTCCAACTTAATTAGATTGATGAAGAATTCAACACAGTTTTGTTTTCGTTTAATTGGATAAAGGAAGAACATTTAAAGTAGCATTAATGAATTTACATATATATTTTTTAGGCTTTTTGTTGGTTTAAGATCAGTCAAAATATCGTTGGAATTTTTCAATGGATAGGGTAATAATAATAGAATATTCTAATAATTCATTAAATTTACATAGCATTCAATTTTCTTTTGAAACCACGTCATTAGAATAATACAAGTTTTTAATTAATTGACAAAGAAAAATAAAGGTACTTCTTAATGATATTGAAAAAAATTATTGATTTTTGATTTTGACAATTTTTGACACGGAGAAATAAAAAACTACCAAAATACGAAAAAAAATTCATTTTATAAATTCCATTTTTCGTTTGAAAACTGGTATTATTACAATTTAAAAATTATTTAATGACTACATTAAAACAGCAAATTACCCGTAATCCATTTCAAAAAACCACCACTAAGTCTATTGTTCCTCCTCTTTATACTAATTTATCTGTTGCACAGTCATTACCATGTCTTGGGAGTCTATCTTCTCCTATTCATTCTCCTTATCGTTCAAAAAGTTCTCGTTCAAGTCATCAAACTCTAAGAACTGTAACAGCTTCTATCCAAGAAAATCCACAAACTCCATTAATAACAACTCCAGACCAACATACAAATTGTTCTTTACGTAAAATCCCTTCTAAATTATCAAAAGTATGTAGGCTCTTTTGTAATGATGATAAAAGAAAAAAACAATCCACCAGTACTGATTCTGAAATATTTCAAATATGGAAAGATATACTTATAGATATTAAGAATGATGGAAAAAGTAAAAAATGGAGACAAACATGGAAAAATAATAATTTGGTTCTATTTGAAGATTTTATAATAGATGATTTAAAATTTATAAGAGAATACGTTTGGTGTCTTCCAAGAGTCAAAAGAGAAATATTAGCTTGTCTTGTTAGTTGTGTCAAACTGGGATATATTGATGACTTTCTATTTCAATATTATTTATTGAATAATCAAAATTATAAAGAAGCATCATCTTTTCTTCAAACTTTACTTGATAACTCAGAATATATTTTTGACTCTAATGGAGATCCTTGTTATAATGAAGATGGTCTTATCATTCAAATATCTCCAAAAAAATTCTTCTCAGTTTGTCTCCATGAAGTATTAGGAAGTGATGATTTAATTACTTTTTTTACTGAGTCATATCCATTTTTCAGTGATTCACTAACTATCCTTCGTTGGTGTTTTGAATACCATAAAAAAATTAAAAAGGATTTTTTAAATCAAATTGTTAACACTGAAAATAGTATGGAATTAACGAGACTAGAAAAACTTATTCTTGGAGTTTTATCAAAAAAAGAATCTTTGGACGAAGAAATTGTTAGTGAAATAAAACATTATTTCTGTACAGGAATGTATTCAAATTCTTTCACTGTGTCAGTTATTGAAATATTAAACAATAAAGTTATTAGTGAAACAAAAAAAGTTTCTTCAATCACCCCTTCTTTAAAAGAAGAGAAAAAACAGAAAAAGTCTAAATCATCTGATGAAAGAAGAACTGAATATATAGAAAATATTAATGAAGTTCAAGATGTAAATCGTGAAAATCTTTTCACTATTCATCCTTTAATTGTTGCTCAGCAATTAATTTTCTTTGATTCTTCAATGTTTAATGTAATTCAACCAATCCAATTCTATAATTGCAACAATTGTTGTATCAACAAATATATCTCAAAACTAACTAGTGTAAAGTGTCTTATTCAAAAACATACTACCTCTCTTGAGACATTTTCTTTCTTTTTAGAAGTCGCTAAATTTTGTATTGCCCTTAATGACTTTAATATGGGATATATCATCTTGGAAGAACTCTTATTTTTAACAAAAACAAATAAGGATTTATCTCAACTATTATCTCATGAAGTTGAACAACAATTAACAAACAGCTTTGCTTTATTTTCCCCTGTGAAACGATATGATACCTATAAAAATGCAATTTACTCTTTACTCTCAACAGAAAGCTTTATTCCATGCATCTTTATCCTTGAAAAACAATGGAAAAAACTTAACAAAAAACCACTCATTGAAAACAATCTCCTCAACATTGCTTCTATTAAAGAACATTACCAACTTATCCAATTATTCATTTATGCCTTACAAAACCCTTACCAATTAGAACAAAATGTATCGTTTCAATTTTTCTTTCATTCCATGTTTAATTAATTATCTTTTATTACAGTTTAACTATTATTAAACCTCTCTTATTATTATTTTCATATCCTTTTTTTAACATGAACAACTATTCATTTAAGTATTTGTACAAATCAAAAAGTTTTTAATTGTTAAATAAAACTATAATAACACAAGTAAAAATAACGTAAAAAGTTAAATGAATATGTAAAACATAATTAAATAGATTTTCAACAGCATCAACTAAATGTTATTACAAATTATATTTCCAGTCAAGAATAATACAAAATATACCACAAATTAATAACAACATTACTCTTCCAATGACAAAAACAAAATTAAATAATAGAAATGATATAAATCAAAAAATATAATTAATAAAGTAAGCCACATCTAGCTAAATAAAAGAAGGGAAATAACGAAGAAGAAGAGAAGAAGACCAATGTAGAGAATGTTTAGAATAAAGAAAAAGAGAAGAAAGAGAAGGAAGAGGGGAGAGAGGAAGAGAAGGAGAAAGAAGGACATTAGGAGAAGAGAATTGAGAAAGAATTAAGGGGTCAGGGAAGTGAGGAGGAAGATGGGAGTTGAGAGAAGAGAGAAGAGGAGAAGAGTGAGAGGAAAGAGAGATAAGGAAGTCATTGATTGAGTGACAAGAGGTAATGATGTGTTTAGCAGTAATTGGACCGACATTAGGAAAGCCGTTAGAATAGTCAGAAGGAACAAGAAGTGAGTAGAGGCGAATCTGGTCAAGAGAATAGTCAAAAGTTGAAGCAGAATATAAAATAGGATGAGAAGAAGTGAATAAGTTAGTAATGACATTCTTAGCACCATAAACAAAGATGTCACTATCATTAGTTGCAATATAATCACATAAACCATCATGTTCAAGTTGATAGCATTGTGCTTCAGCTTCACCTGGTGCAATTATATATGGAATATTTATTTCTTTAAACATTTGAATAAGTCTTTTATATATAACTTCATTCTTAATTATTCCTTCACTAATACAATATATATTTTCTTTTTCTTTCTTATTTCTTTCTTCTTCTTCTTCTTTGATTATATTTGTATTTTCTTCTATTTCTATGTTAATGCCTTTTTGTTGTTTTGTCTTTTCTTCCTTCATTTCTTTAATTATCTCTTCGATTTCTTGAATGATTTCTTCTTCTTGTTTTTCTTCTTTCATTTCATCCACTCTTGCTTGTTTAGCATCAAACGCTTCTTTCATTCTTGTTTCTTTTGCTTCCTTTTCTATATCAACATTTATGGTGGATTTTCGTACATCGGTTATGTCTTGATAAAACCAAGAAGATGGTTGAATGGATGATGAAGCAATGGAAGTGTCTGGTGATGGGTGTTTTTCGAATCTATGAATGAACGGAAGAGGAGATGACATTTTGATTGCTCCATCTTCTTTTCTTGACTTTTCTTCTTCAATTTTCTTCTCATCATAATCATAATCACATTCATTTTTCTTCTCATCATAATCACATTCATAATCAAATTTCATAGGTTTAGTAGTAGTAGGAATAGTTTTATGAGAAGAAGGGATAGACTGATAAAGAGGAATAGAAGGAGGAGAAGTTGATTGTAATGAAGAAAGGAAGGAAGGGAGAGAATTAAAAGAATCAGAATGAGAATTAAAAGAATCAGAATGAGAATTAAAAGAATCAGAATGAGAATTAGAAGAAGAAAGAAAAGAAGTGATTAAAGAAGAATAAAGAGGAAAAGAAAGAGCACCAATACCCCAAAGAGAAAGGTCAGAGGAGAGAAGAGAAGAAAGAAGAGAAGAAGGAAAGGAATAAACATCTCTTTCATAAAAGCCATTTAAAATTCTATGATTAATTTGAGTGTGAGTGAAAAGAAAAGGAGAAGAAGAAGAATCAAGAAGAGAGTCATGATAAATCTGATTAATAGAAGTACGATTAGAATTAATAGAATGAATTAATGAAATATTAGGAGTGAGTTTAGATTCTTCATGTTTATCATTTTTAATCAAGAAAAGTAGTTGTTCATTAATTTTAGTTGAATTAGAAGGTGGTTTAGTTTTTTGAAAAGAAGCAAATAAAGTATCTATTTCTTTACTTTGTGTTTCTTTCTTTCGTTGATATTCTTTATTCTGTTGTTTCATCCTTTTTTTGATTGTACGTTCTTTAAGATATGTCTTTGTTTTTCCATCAAATACAAATATTGGATAAATCCCTTTTTCTCTACTTTGAATTAATATTTTCATCATTGAAGTATTAACATCTTCTTTCTTCTTCATATATTTAATGATTAACTGTGTTGTATCTATCGCAACTCTTTTCCCTTCAATCTCTTTCTCTTCAATTTCTCTTCCTTTCTCTTTTATTAATTCCCATAATCCTTTTATTCCCATTTCTTTTTTTTCTTTTTTTTCTTTTTTTTAGTTCTTTTATTTCTTTTAGTTCTTTTATTTCTTTTTCTCTTTTTTTACGTTATTTTCCAATTAACTTCGTTTAATATCAAAATCCAACACTCAAGAAATTTTGATGAAATAGATAAATAGAAATATCAAAAATAAGTTAGACTAATTATTGTAATATGTTATATAAATGAATATTATTTTTGTGAGACAAATTATAGTCAGTAAGTTTTTTGATTATTATTCAATTCATTTTTTCTATCTTTACTTTTATTATCCGTTTTTTGTTAATTATTCTTTTTATATTGTTATTTTTCATTATTTTAATTGTTAATTCCTTATCATTTCAATATTATTGTTTTTTTTATTAGTCGATTATTCATTTTCTATTTATTAATGTAATTCATTCTTTAATTATTTTATTAATGAAGATGTATTATTCTTATTTTGCATAATTTGATAAATTCTATTATATTCATTTTTATCATATGTCTTATATAGTTTCTTCTAAATTCAAGTACTATTCATTTTCAACATTTATTATCTTTCATTGACTTCCATTTCATAACATTACTATTTCATCAGATTAGTAAATTTATATTTCTATTGTACTTTTATTATTTTTATAATGGTTATTTTCTTTATTTTTTCTTATTATTGAATGTTACACTTGTTTAATTTATTTGTTATCTAATTTTATTGATAATAACATAAACTTTCATTTGTTTGATTCTTGTTATACTTTTAATTTTGCAGTAATTTTTATCAATCAACAAATCTTTTAATTTATTATGTTTTATATCAATTTACTCTTTAGAATACATTCTGATTTTATTTTTTTTTTAATATATTATTTATATCGTTTTAAGTATAGTCACATTCTAGTATTGTTTAACATAGCTGAGTTATGAATTTGATTGTTAAAAATTAAAATACAACTCTTTAACAAATTTATTTATTATAAAACTTGAAAGTGTTATATAAACATTATTATATTAATGTTGACTATCGATGATGTAATAGTACATTGACTGCCTCATCAACACATTCAAACTGATAATTAATTATAATAAAACAAAATGTTCAATATTATTAATTGATGATAATAATAGTTTTTTATCTATATTCTGAATATTTAAAATATATATATTGTTAGTAAGTATATTTAATTAGACATTTTTTATTGGTGATATTCATTCTTATTATTAAAACCGTTTATTATTTTGAATGATTTGAATTACCTTTTTATTAATTGTTATTAAACTAAATTCCATGACTCTAATCATTTAATTAATAATCATAATTAATAAGACACAAGAAATTTTATTCTGTATTGAAAGTCATTAATAATTAGAAACATATCATAAAATCAAAATAATAACCAAAAACATTACCAAAACAGAATAATCAGAGTATTAATAAATACTTACTACTGACAATGAATTTTGATTTAAATTTATATTATTATATTTTTGTTTACTTTATTAATACGTTTAACTTCAATTGAAAAACAATGGTGATATATAATTAATAATTATTATTCATAAGTACTGTAAAAATAATAAGGAAAATAATACTTCTAAATTAAATACATAACACACTCTCAACACAATCTATCAATACGTTCAATATATTCATGAAGTTTCATATCTTTAACTGTGTTATTGTATCTTTTTAAATAATAACTTATTTATCATTGTAAGAATAATTTATCATTATGTTCAATACATGATTATTATTTTCTCATAAATATTCTTATCTTTATTTTTAATATCATTGGGTATTATCTCATTTATCCACATTAACTACAAGTTGATATTGAATACCATTTGATACCCTTTTTTATTGATTATTTACTCTTCAACTTCATCTCATATTATTATCTATTAATATTGATTTATGAAACTATCCATTTCTTCTCATATTATTAACACATTTTATTTCTCTCATTCATTTTGTTTCTTTATTTTCTTCTCTATCTTATTATTGTAATATTCTTTAATCAACTATTTACTATTCATTATCATTCATCTTTTATTCATCATTTCCTTCATATTTCATATTATTCATTTCTTCTTGTTTATGAAAGAGGTTCATTCGTTTCAATTTATTTGTTTTATTCTATTTTCTGGGTATTCGTCATATTGTGTTTTGTTATGACAACCACACAACGAAAAAGAAGAAATGATGGTTAGTGGTGATTTTGTTAGAAATGATGGAAACAACAAATTACAATCTCAAACAAGAGTCAGGAGATGTGATGAAATGATAAGTAACTTGAAAACATCATGTTGAACGATAAGAAGATAGAAAGAGTAAGTTATGAAAGAGTAATGAATGAAAGCATTGTATATTAATTTAATGAAAAATCAGTTAGTTAATATCGTTGAAATATGAAATTCTTCGTTAGAACTATGTTCTATGAAATAGAATATATTCTATCACTAAATTAAATAACTATAAAGACACAAAAAGAAGAAATGATTTAGATGTGTTGTTAGAAAACTAGTTGGTTTTCATAATATAAATGAACAAAAGAAATCAAGAAATAATGTTAAGTATGAATTTATAAGAATGAATATCATTCATAAATAAATGAAATTCATATTTTATTATTAAAGATTCAATGACTTATTGAAATGTATGATAATACATCAATCAGAATGGAAAAAAAAAAAAAAGAAATCAATTATGATTAACCTTATTTTTAGGTTTTTTCATCATGTCGAGAAGTGAGCGAATCAGTTTCTTCAACACGCTTTATTTCTATTGAAATAAAGTTTTTGCAAGCATGCTCGACTTAAATGGTTCCTCATTTAAGTTGCTGCCTGACTTTTATTTTGATTTTAATGAGTAATATAATATTTCTCATTCTTTATATTGTTGTTTTAAGGAGAGTATATCCATAACTTACTGTTATAGCTCATCTCCTTTTACCTTCGACACCCCTTAAAGAAACCCTATTCCTTGATAATATCATTATGTTTAATTTTTGTGCAACAATATCAATTATATATGCGTCTTCTTTAATAAATGATAATTCTTAATACATAATACCTCCTTAGTTAATAATAATCCTTATAATTAATAATGAATAACAATACACGTTAATGAAGAACAATACACGTTAATGAATAATAATCTTTTATAATAATCACTTCTAATAAATATTAATAATAATAAACAGTTAGTGTTGAATAGATATTATCTCACCAAAGGCACGTCATGACCAGACGATAACTGGGAGATTCGAAGCATGGGATTATTTTAGGGTTTCATGTGGTGTCTCTGACGTGCCATCTTCGAATCTGCATCAATCAGAATGTAAATGAAAAATAAGTGAATAAAATACAAATAATAAAAAGATAAGTCTTATTTATCATTAAATGATTGTTAAATGTTTTGTTTTCTTGTATTATTATTATTTCATTCTCATGCTTCTTCTTACTCTCACTTCTAATACTTTCTTATCATGTCTTATCTATTAACATATAATGTTATTGTTAATATATATAGTATTCATTCATTTCAACAACACACAAATAACATTGAACATATTAATAAAACATGTCATTGATTTGATGTGATTCTGTCTCATCATTCACTTTATCTTATTTGTAATGTCTTATTATTCGCATCAACCTGATACACTTCTTTATGTTTAATTTTTCCTTCTTTTCTTTTTTTTCGTTTTTCCTTATTTCTGTAGAACAACAATCATGAATTGACGTGAAATTGTTATTAAACTTAAAATTAAGTAATTAATGTTTCTTTTTACAAACCGGTCATATTCGTTTCTTTCTGAACGCACAATTGAATCAAAGATTAAGTCATTTAAAGAAACTATCCAAAGAACAACAATCTCAGACCAGTTCAAAGAAAATCTTGTTAAACAAGAAAAATATCAGACACTAGTTGTTGAGCTTGAGGGATACTTACAATTATGTTTAAGTAATGATACTAACAAAATTCGTGTACAGGATGTATTATCTCTACTCACTCTTATTGGAATAATTTATGATAATGAAACATTAACCTCTTCTCCTTCACAATATTTCAGTCAACATAAGTCGTTCCAATTATTTATTGAAGATTGTCTTTGTGTGTTTATGGAATTTGAAGTGAGGAAAATGGCATTACAACTATCATTAGATTATTTGAAGAGTGTTAAATGTAATGATCTTAGATTTGTTCAATTAATCATTTCCATTATTGATTTTCCAGCATTTAATTCTCATGAGACTAACATTCTTCAAAGTACTAATTTGAGATATGATAATTCTCTTAACAAAAGTAAGGATTTAAGTAGACGACTAGAAGAAGCTACATACATGTTAACAGAAATTTTGTCTCAGAGTTTTGAAAAAGAAAATGACTTTTCCAATTTATTAGTTTTGTTAAGAAATGTATTGTGTGTGATATTTCCAATGATCATTTTAGATGTCAAATCCTATATTGATAAAACATTTTACTTAAAATATTTACCAGAACCAAATAAGAAAATAACAGTATTATTCTTAAAAATCTTTTTGATTAATCCTACGCGATTTTGTACTATGTACTTATCCCCTTATTTTTCTCAAGTTTTTAAAGATATTTTTCATTGTATTTTAAATATGAAATGGAGCCCAAATGAATTTGATGAAGAAGTTCGACCATCTCTAAAATGGTATTTTATGATATTCTTTGGACCTAATGTAGAAACAATGACAAATTCATTACCAAAAGAAGAGTTAAAATCATTACAAACATTTTATTTAGATGAATTGAAGTCTTTAATAATTTATCGAGAATATTATCTTGAAGAGTCAAGAAAATTTTTATCGAATGTCTTAGCTTTTTTGTCTTCATGTATATGGTCTATAAATATTAATTCTAGAACATCTGTAATTCCATTAACATTAATTGTAGTAGATAATTATCTTTCATTATTAAAAAATGGAGCTCAAAATCAAAAAGTTGATAGACATACAAAAGTAAGATTTGCATCAAGTGCATTTTCATTGTCAATGGAAAATGATACATTTGATATTATTCTTTCCACAATATTTATGTGGATGAAGTTATATTCTAAAGATGAAGATGCATGGTTGAATAATACACTGTCATTAAAAAAATTATTACAAGATTATTGGTGTATTCAAGGTGTTTTAAATGCTATAGCTAAAGTATATGGACATTTAGTTAGAACAATAACTGACAAGTTATATTGTACTTCTAATACAACAACTCCTGCAATTATTTCATTAATATCTCCAGAATATGAAACAGTTAATAATATTACAAAAGAAAATGATACAAAATTTAAAGTATTTGAAACAGGGGATTATTCTTATTATACATGTAGGTATTGTACAAAGATGATAAAAAGATTTGATCAATGGCAAGATGAAGATATTATTTTTATTTTTAAAATATTTACAAAACTTATTTGTTCTGAAGAAAATTATTCAAATACACTTATAAGAAGAAATATTCATTTATTAGTCAATCAAACAATCATTATACTTAATAATTCTGAAAAAATATCAAACAAAAAAATAATTAATATCACAGAATTGTTTATTCCAATTATTTTTAACTCATTATCACTTCAAGATAATTATATACAAACAATGAATATTCATTCATTAATTGAACTTTATGAAAACTCTAGTTGTCCTAATGAAGTTATTGCAATATTAAAAAACCTTCTTTCTATGATTCCAGATGAACTATTATTTCCTTCTCTCGAAAAGTGTTGTTCTCTTTTTTATAGACTCTATTTAAATTATATTCCATTAATACCTTTAATTATAAATAAAATACAACAATTTTATAACTACACTAAAACACAAAAAACACATTTATTTTTATCAAATCTTCCACACGGAAATTTAGGAAATGATTTAGTTCCAATTGATAAACGGTTATTTAATTCTACTACAAACGCTCCAATTAAAATTCTTTCATTACTAAATATTTTCTTAGAATTAGAACAATTAATTATTCCTGAATATTCTAATGGACAAATTGAATATTACCAACAAATGACTAATGTAATATTATATGCCACACATGTTGTATTAACAAGGTCTTCTCATATTACTGCTGTATGGATAGCAGCTCGATTATTTGTTCAAATATCTCAAACTATAAATCAATTACAACATCAAAAAGACCAAAAAATTGATAAAGAAATTAAAAATTTAAAAGACCAGGCATTAATATTATTTAATATTATTCTTGGAGAATGTGCATTAGCAGAAAAATCAAAGAATAGAAAAGAGATATGTTTTAATTTTGGACTTACACTTGATTTTATTGGAAAAAATGCTAGAACTATTCCTAATGATTTACTTAATGAAATATTCAATTTATCATTAGAAGAATCTATTAAAACAACTTTAATTGAAAATAAACAAAGAATTATTATGTCTTTAATGGTAATTGGATTTACTTCGTCATCTATATTTCAAATTATGGATAATACAACTTTGAAAAAATTATTCCATTATTTAGAAGAATTAAATGAAACAAGAGTTAATATAACACAATTATATGGAGATGGAGAAGCATCAAAACTCTTTATTAGCTCATTAAGAAGGTATGGAAAATTAATAGAAAATGATAAATATAAACGAAGAACGAAAGAAAGCGTTCTTAACTTTATGAAAGAAGGAAAAATGTTTAGTGTATGGATAAAAGATGAAAAGAAAGGTGGCATTATTATTGAAATGAGGGATGTATTTGGTAAATGTACTTTTGAAATTGAAGAACCCACTAATGGATTAAATTATGATTGTAATATTTTAACTCAAACAAAGTCGGGTGTTCAAGAAAGTGTATTATATACTGAAAAAAAACATGACTTATTATTTTATGTTCCTGTAGAAAATGATAAAGAAAAATGGTTAGATGAAAGTGTGAATGAAATACTAAAAGAATACAATGAATTGTGTAAAGGAATAAAAAGTGAGGAATCTCAAGAAATGTCAAGGATTAGAGAAAAAGTCTTCTTAGAAAGTGAAAACAAAATAAGTAAAATACATGAGGTATCAATTTTTCAACCATTAACAGAGCACAAAAAAGTACAAAAAACAGATAGATATTCTAAAGTTATTAAAAAGGTAGTAAATACAAACACAAACCAAGTAGAAATAATAAAGTTATTAATGTCTATATTTAATATATCAGAATCAAATTATAAACAAATAAATATAATTGGAAACGATTTAGAAAATAAAATTAATGAATTAGATGCTATATGTTCAAAAGAATTATATTTGTTTTGGTTATTTAATGTAGGTAATAGAAAAACTAAAGAAGAAATTATTTGTAATGAAGAATCTACAGAAGCTTTTGAAGAGGTTAAAAATGCTCTTGGAAAGCAAGTTAAAGGGGAAGAAACAATTATTGGCAAACAAAATCCATTATTAATAAAATATAAATGTGAAGTTATTCAGTATAGTGATATAATTAGAGAAGTTGTTATTAGTGATATTAGTAAAATACCAATTCAAAATAGGAATGATAAAGAATTAATATTAAACCAACTTATAAATATATTCTTTACAGAAATAGAATTTGATCCTAATGTTCTTGGAGAATGTAATTGTCAAATAGCTGTTATTATTCAACCACATCTTAAAGGAATATATAAAATTCAAATATATACAAAGAAATATAAAGGATGGGGACTTCTTCAAAATAATAATTTTTGCTTTATTAATCATCTTGGAATATATATAAGAGAAACAATAATTGCATTGTATAAAGGAATTAATTCAAAATTACACAAGGGTATTGAAAGTAATCCTTTTTTAAAGAGAATAAAAATTATTTCATCAATTGATGCATCCTCACAACCAACAACCTTTATTGATTTTATTTGGAAGATTCAAAATGTATTTAGTCATTATGAATAAAACTTAAATCATTCTTTTTTTTTCTTCATTTTTATTTAAGAAGTTATAAACTTAAAAACTTAATAAAAACTTTAATATTATCTTCTTTTATATTATATTCAAAATTCCATTGATAAGTCTCTTGATGCTAAGTGTTTTCTTAATGACTTTAATGCATCAGCAAAATCAAACTTTGAGTCAACAAAAGCATTCCATAATGACTTAGAAGGAATATCTCTATATAATAATGAAGACACTGAAAGTAACTGTTTAATATATAATGCATCAACATCATTTCCAACACATGAATGATATTTTCTTTGCCATTCATACAATTGCATAATAAATGCGGGATTTGGACAAACAATATGTCTTCTATCAGAGACATATTGAAAAGCGGCTTTTAAAGACATTTGATATTTTCTAATTAAATAAGCAATAACCACAGAAGCAGATCGTGATATACCAAAATCACAATGAACTAATACTGGATGATGTTGTGTTATTTGTGAGTCAATAAATTCATATGCTTTTTCTAAATAATTTATTAATGGAAAATTATATGAATCTATAACTGGTAATTTTAATATTTCTACTTCTTCTTTATTAATTGGATATTCATATTGTTCTGGACATACAACCACTATGGCTTTAATATGGTTCAATTCATATGTATCACTAAGTAATGCACCTTTCTTTCCAGTGAGGAATAATTCATTTTCAATTATTGTACTAATAACCCCCTCTTTAAGAGGAAGTTATATGTTATCAACACGTTGTTTTGCTTCTTGGTTTCCCATGAAAAATTATAAACGTTATTCTAAGTTCATTATTTTTATAAATAACAAAAAAAAAAGAAAATGAAAATAAATACTGTAATATATATCAAAAGAATAAAAATTTAGAATATTATATAAAAGAAATCAAAGTCTAATTTATTTTTAAAGAAGATAATTAAACAAAATAATTTATTAATATAGCAAAAGAAATAAGAAGAATCTATCTTGTTCTATTAAGATAATTTGTGAAATGAAGGAAGCGAATGGACAAGTCGAAGATACTAAAATAATCTGTTGTCATCTTTTTTTTTGAATGTAAAGAAACATTTAAAGAAATTTTTCAACTAACAAACATCATTAAATTATTGGACAATGAAACAAACATCTCTAGAAGTAAAAGAATTCGCTCTTAATCTTATCAGCCAATTTGAACCAGAAAACCAACCACTTGGTTTTTGGATTTTTGATACTGAAGGTGTTGAAAAAGCAGTTGAAAGATGGAAAAAGAATATGCCAACAGTTAGACCTTGCTTTGCTGTTAAATGTAATCCTGAACCTCATTTAGTTAAGCTTTTAGGTGAATTAGGATGTGGTTTTGATTGTGCTTCATTGAATGAAATAAAAGAAGTATTAGACCTTGGATTTAATCCTGAAGACATTACATATTCACAAACTTTCAAACCATATAATCAATTAATTGAAGCAAGTCATTTAGGAATTAATCATACAATTGTAGATTCAATTGATGAAGTTCAAAAAATTGCAAAATATGCACCAAAAATGGGTATAATGATAAGAATTATGGAAAATGATACATCAGCAGGTCATGTATTTGGAGAGAAATTTGGACTTCATGATGATGAGGTTGAAATAGTTTTAAAAGAAATTAAAGACAAAGGATTAAATTTAGATGGAGTCCATTTTCATGTTGGAAGTGATTCTCATAATAGTGAAGTTTTTACTAAAGCATTAACTAAAGCAAGAAACACTGTTACATTAGCAGAACAATTTGGAATGAAACCATATTTAATTGATATTGGAGGAGGATTTAGTCAAGTTGCTCCATTTGAAGAATTTGCAGCAACAATTGAAAAAACAATAAAAGAATTAGAGTTTCCAGAAAGAACAAGATTTATTGCAGAACCTGGAAGATATATGGCATCTAATGCATTTCATCTTGTTAGTTCTTTACATGGTAAAAGAGTAAGAATACAGAATGGAAAGAAACAAATTGAATATACTTCAGGTGATGGTTTACATGGAAGTTTTGGATGTTGTATTTGGTTTGAAAAACAAAAAAGTTGTGAATGTATTACACAAAAAGTTAATGAAAATACTAAAATGTATGAAAGTATTATTTATGGACCTTCTTGTAATGGAAGTGATAAAGTAGCAACTCAAGAACTACCAGAAATGGAGCCAGGGAAAGATTGGTTATTATTTCCCAATATGGGTGCTTATACAATTTCTATGGCAACTAACTTTAATGGATTTGAAGAAAGAAATCATGTCATTTATACTTTACCATTAAAGTCAACAAAAATTATTCAAATCCCTAAGTCAATTGAATGTAACTCAGTTCCATCATTAAATGGTATTCCACACTATGCTTAAATTTTTATTTAATATTTTATTAATAAAACATTAATAATTTAATTTATTTAATTTATTAATTATTTTGAAATAAATTCAATTCATATTTTCATACATTCCTGCTAACCGAGCAACATCTCCACCATTTTGTCGACTTTTTGTTTTTTCATTAGGACTTTTCTTTGGTAATGAAGAATTTCCAGTTGAAAGTTGAAAAGTATTAATTTTACTTGATGTGTTTCCATTTGGTGTTGTTGTTTTTTTAGGTAATTCTGGTTTTTTCTTATCTTCTTTTGGATGTGAAGAATTAAAAGGAAGTCCAATTGGTTCTGTTGCTACTTGTTTGATTGATTTTTTTGGAAGAGTAGGACGTTCTTTATTTGGTTTACTTTTTTCAGTACTCATAGAAAGAGGTTTAGGAGGTAATGCTGGTTTTGAACTGTTTGAAGTAGAATGTGAAAGAGATTTTTGAGAAATCATTCCATTATCTGAAGAAGATGTAGTACGAAATTGAGTAGATTCTTTTTTAGAAGGAAGTGGAGGTGCAGGTTTTGAAACATCAAATTTAATATCTACTTTAACAGAATGAAAATCAGTAGGTTCTGATATTTCCATTTCATCTAAATTTTCAGAAGAACTAAAGTCATCTGATTTTTTAATATAATTACCAATACCAACCGTTTGTTTAATTTCTCTTTTCCATCTTTTCATAGCAAAAGCTGTTTTAACTGATTTATTATTAAAATGATTTAAATAGTCTTTTTCTGTATGTACTTGAATCGGAAGATTTTTACTTACACAATAAATACAACGATGATCAATACTTTCTCTATCTCCAACAATTACTTTAAAACAAGATTGACACCTATAACATTTAGAATGAATTGGTTTTCCTTCCCATAAAGAACATGGCATATTTGTTAAAATATTTTGTTTACAAAAGAAACAAATTTTTTGTTCTGATGTTGGAGTAGGAAAATAATCTGTTAATACTTTCCAATGACAAGTTGTTGCTTCAGGAATAGCAGTAATACTATTAACAAGTAAAGGACATTTAGTAAGTAAACTTTGATTATTAATTAACATATTTTCACGTTCTTCAATAAACATATCAAGCATTTGAGATTGTTGAAATTCAGTAATAAAAGCTTCATTATCAGGATCTAATTTTTTAATAAATTTTGACCATTTAAATTGAATTGGTTTAAATCGAGGATTGTTTTTATCTTCTTCAGTTGGTTTAACTTCTTTAAAACATTTTTGATAATTTAAAAATAATCTTTGAAAAAATTTAAGAACCTGTGCTCGTACAACTGTATCATCTTCTGGTTTTGGTTCTTTACTTACAATGTTTGATAAAATATTACGAAGTCCAATACTTGTGTCAGAGACAAGAAGCATTGGAAAGTCTGGTTTATTTATATAATTTCCATTATCAATATCAATAACAAAAACATCAGAAATATCTCCACATTCATTTTGAATTTCTGGATATAATGTTCTTAAACATCCAATTACAAATGGCATTGGTGCTGCACAATATGTTACAAGACTTTTAGGTAATAATGGAATTAAAACATGTTGCCATACAAATGGTGACATTAAAGTAATAAATGATGAAATTGTATTAGAAAGAGTCATTAAATAATCTGATACAAATAAAAATTTTCTTTCTAACATCATATGACTTAAAATATCAATAACTTCAGATGCTCCAAATTTATTAATTAATGTTGCTGTAGAAACTAATTTAGTATTTGTAAAAGTATCATTAATTGGTCTAACTATAGAATAATTAATTAATCTTTTTGCTGGATCACTATTATGAATTTGTTCTCCTGGAAAAGGAAATGGTTGGTCTAATAAAGCAGATGCAAGTTGTTCTACAGCATCCACTTTTGGTAAATATTTTTCAAATAAATTTAAAACTTGTTCATAAAAAGCAAAAGATGCACTAAAATAATAAGAATATAAAATAATTAGAAAGTAAAATATTATTTTATTAATAAATAAACAAGAGAAGTAATATAACTACAAACTTTTGTGATACTATACAAATACATTCTGAGTCATCAATATGAATTTTTCTTCTACAATAACAATACTTTCTCATTCCATCTATTCCAGTTAAAACAAATGAAAAATTTTCAAGTCGTTCTTTTTGTTTTCCAACTATATTTTCAGGATAACAAAATTCAAAAATAATAGTATCTTGATTATCTACTCTTGGTGCTTTAAAATCAACTACATTCTTTGGTCTTTCAACTATTTTTATTAGTAATTATTCTTATATCATTATTTGTATTTGAGAGAATTTCTTTACATCTCCTCATTTTTTAATTTCATTTACTTAAAGATAATTCAAATAAAAACAAAACTGTTTGCTCTTTTGAAATGAATAACATAGTCAAGAACTTTAGTAGACTTCATTTAAATAAATTCTTTATAACTATCAAAAATGAGATCTTATTCACAAGAAAAAGTAGTTTCAACGTAAAAATATATCTAATTTTCAGTCAACAAAAATATGTAATTTCTTTTAAAAGAAATTCCATCTTCAATAAAAAAAAAAATAATAAATTAACGTTTTATATAACATTCTTTTATTCAACTGTTTAAAAGAAATTCATAAGTAGATTTTTAACAGTAAAATTAAAGAAAAAAATGAAGAAGTAAATTTCTTCATTTTTAAATTGGTTTCATTAGTGAAGGAAACGACAAAAAAATAAACATCGAAAACGAGAAAAAAAAAACAAAAATTAAAAGGATTTGATAAGAAGTATCAAAGAAGAAGTTAAAAATAAAACTTGAAAAGATTTAAAAGAAGTATTTTCTATGCAAACACCTGAACCTGGAAGAGATAGTGAAGAAATAAGTCCTAGATGTTTATGTTGTATTTGCGAACAAGAAGATACATTAATAAAAGAAAATAAAATAAAAACAACGAAATTATGTATATTAATATTACGTTCATTAAAAAAATTACATCCAATGACTGATTATTTCTCTTTAAAAAAAGACATTTATTTGTTTATTAAAAATCATTGGAGTATTTTAAAAAAAATCAAATTATGTTTGGTATTAATTGTTTTAAGAAGTTTAAATTCATTTTATTTTTTGAGATATTTTAATTCAAAATTTAGAATCTTAAAAATATTATTTCTTTATTATCATTATTATTTTCTTTTGATTCTTTATTCTTTTCTTTTACTTCTTTTTAGATATTACAAAATTATATTATCATTTTTAATTATATTCTTTCTTTTTGGTAAAATGTTAAATATTTATTTGTTTAGTTCAAAAACCAAATTGGAAAAAATGTATTCTTGATGCATTAAATCATTGTTCATCAATAGAATCAGGAAAAGATGTTTTTCATTATCGTGGATATTATAGATTATGTGATGAAAAATTAATACCTACAAAAGAAATTTTATTTGAAAAAGATAAAATCAAAGAAGATTTATTTAATATAATAGATATTTTATCAAAACAAATTGAAACTAATATCCAATTATTAAATTTACTTTATCATGAAATTCCATTTAAAAAGAATGATCGAAGGAGTTATGACTTTATCATAAACACTCGTGATATTCTTGAACGACAAAAGTATTTTTATGAAAAAATTTGTTATTCTAGTTCTATTCTTTTATCTCATTTATGATATTTTTTTACAAAAATTCGTTCAATCAAAACAATCTCTTCTCTATTTAATTGAATGTTTGTTATAAATAATTTCAAATATTCTATTTTTGAGTTTATAATTTGTTTTTATTATACTTTGTTGATTTATTTATTCTTTTTTGTTTAATAGAAAAGATATTGAAACCTCATTCTTTAAACTATTTTGAATTGTTTTTTTTTATTTAAAATAATTTGTAAGTTAAATTATAATTTGTTTTGTTTGAAAAAGATTATTCAATAAAAATAAATTAATGAATATTAATATCATTAAGTATAGTATTTCTTTTTCTTTTTATATTCATGGACTTTTCTCTATACTTAATAATTCAGAACATTTACTTTTAAATGAATTTAAATTGATATGACTTTCAGAAAGAACAAAATCTTCTAATGGTTCATTTGGTTTTATTTTACTTTTTGTTGAAATATCAGATATTGTTGATGCTCTTTTTCTGGTATGAAATTCTTTTTGATTTAAAGGTAATAATGAAACTTCTTTTTTTGACCGAGGAGTTGTATTTCCACTTAAAGGTTGATAAATTAATGGATGATTTATTTCTCTTTTTTTTCTTTGTTTTTCTTTTTCTTCTACAAATGTTGGAATAAGAACAAGTCCTTTCAATTTTGGAACTTCTTTTCTTTTTAATTGAGTTTTCTCATTTTCGTCTTGAATTTTCTTTAATTGATTCTCATAACAAGTTTGAAGTTTATTCAATAATGCAATACATTTTTTATATTCATGACGATCTTCTAAATATTTTCCATTTAATAATAGTAATCCTCGTTTAAATTGTCTTTATTTTATTAATGTTCAATTCTTCTTCTTCTTTTTTGATTCTTAAAGAAATTCAAAACAAAAAAATATAACAAACAATAAAAGACTTCTTATTTCTTCAAGTAAAGATAAGAAATTGGTATTTATTCCATTTACTTTTTCACATTCTAAAAGACTTTTTTCAATTTGAGGTTTTAATTCAATAAGTTCTTTTGGAACATTTGTTATGTTATTATTAATTCCTTCATTCATTTTTACATTTTCTGTATATTTTATATAAATTGCTTTCATTTCAATAAGTTCATTATATTTTTCTCCCCATTTTTTTATTAATGATCTTGCTTTATTAACAACAGAATTTGAGTAATTTTTATCCATTTTCTAATATATAAGACAAATACACTTCTCCTTCTTCTGTTTTGTTTTTTATTTATTAAGAGAAAAAAACAAATAAATTAAAAACAAACCTTGACTTTTGCTAGAAATTCAAAAGAATGAATAATACTAAAGTCTTTTAGATGATATCTAAAAGATACATTCCTTTTACAAACATAATCCATTAAACATAACACATTAAACATTTGCATTTGATCTGCTTCTTTATTCTTATATTTTTTCATCCATATTAAACATTGTTCAGCAAGTGCACTTGGTGCATATGGACTTATTTCCATAAAATCAGAAATTGCTTTCATTTTAAATGGTAATGGTGGAACAATATTTTCACTTATAGTTAATTCTATTATTTCACTTAATTTGAAACTTGGCATTTAAAAAGTAGTTTTTTAGTTTAATTTCTCAAAAGAACTTTCTCTTTTTTCAATTAAACAATTCTTGAAATTATAATTTAACGAATGTAATTCTTTATTGAGAGATTTTATTTTTCTTTAATTATACAATAACGATTAGTACTGTTAAATATTTAAATATCTTATTTGTTATATGAGACATTTTCTATTGATAACATTTTATATTATGTAATTTAAAAATTTATAAAAAAAAAATATATTAAAAATAAAGTTTTTTTGTTTAAAATTAAATATGAAGGATCTACTTCGAGTGTTTTAATTAACTATTATTCCTTATAACCTTTTTAAACTATGTACATAACCATTTTATTAAATTATACAAATAATTCATACAAATAAATATATTGTTTAATTTTATATTTATAAAAGTGTATGAATTAAAACTAAAAAATACAATAATATTTTAGTTTGTATTTCAAAAGGTTTTTTTATAACAAAAAACACATTTTTTGTTTGCTTAATTACTTATGAGAACTAATAAATTCTTTAATAGAAAATTAAAAATATAATTTTATTGAAATTTTTACCATAAAAAATCCACAAGGAATAGTTTTTACTAAATGTTATTGTTTTACCAATAAATACATACCAATCACTAAAAGAATTTTCACATCATTAAAATAAGGTTTTGTTATCTTTTTTATTTGAGGATATCATTATTTATTAATTTGAAAATACGTATTTATTTCATTTCAAAAAACAACAATGCCATTCAAAATATAACACATGTCTTGAATTAAAAATATAATTTACAAATATTCCTACGATTAAGATTTCCTAAAAATATAAACCATTTTAATCAAAGTTATAAGCAATATTATTGTATTATTGATAAATTTATACTTTTGAAAAGAGTTTTTTTAGAGTTTTAAATCTATCTTTCAATAACAATAATTTGAAAATAATATAAATAAATAAAGCAAAGATGGGTCAGTTTCTTCTGATAAAAATACTAAAATGATGAGTTTTATAACATAAAAGTGAAAAAAAGTGGTTGAAAATTGCCTGATAATAGTTCAAAATCATCAAAAGTTTTTCTTTGGATGAAAATGAAAAAAGAAAAAAAGAAAAAATAGAAGAACAGAATTGGATTAAATCGGGAGTATGAAACTATATCTACACTCATAAACTATAAAAAAGGAACTAAAAAAAATAAAAAATTGGATAATATGGCAGGATTATTAGATGGTAAATTATTGAAACAACTTGGAAGTAATATAGAAATGGATTTAGAAGATAAAATTGAAGATGAAATTGAAGAAGATGCGACCAATTTTATTGAAGAATTAGAAAGGATTGGAGAAGAAGAAATAATTCATATAATTAAACCAAAAAGGAAAAATGAAGAAAAGAAAAGTAAAAAAATAATAAAAAAAATAGAAAAAGAAGAAGAAATTCTTGGAGAATTTAAATCAAAAGAAAGAAAAAGAAATAATAGAGTAAATGCAAATAGAAATGATTATGGAAATGAAGGTTTTTTATTAATGATATTATATTATTTAGGATGTTATATTACATTAAGTAAATTACAAAAAGATGGAAAACATCAAAAATTAAAAATTGTTGAAGTTGGATTTGAAGATAAAATTTTATTATCTCGTAAAGAAGTTGAAGATAATATTGAAAAAATTGATTTTCCAGTAGGAACTAATTTAAAAAGGGCAAAAAGAATTATTACATCAACAAATATTGATAATGGATTACTTGATATTATTAAAAATTTCTTTGGATTTCAATTTAAAGAAGAAGTAAAAAAGAAACCAGAAAAAGATTATATGCCAGAACGTAGAGTCATTGAATCTATTCACTTAAAAAAAGAATGGAATAAAAAAGAAATTATTAATGAAGGAGTTTTATTTTATGAAAATATTAAATTATTTAGTGGGAAAAATAAAACTATTCATCTTTCTATTGATGAAGTAACAAAATCTCTTCATGAATCTCTTATTAATGACTCAATCCCTCCTGACAAATCTAGTATTTCAAATTCAACTCAAATTTTATCATTGAATTCTTGCGATGAATCTGACTGTCATTCTAAACCTATCTAACTTTTTTTTATTATTTCAATTCTAGTTGAATTATCCTTTTGGTATAATTAAACTATTATTATTGATATTTTATATTATTATTATTTTTTTTTTTAAATTATTTATTTTATAGTAAACATCTATTATTTTAGACTTTTTGGTTGTTTGTTTTTGTTTCTTTTATTATTTTACTTTGTTTTATTTCAATTCCATTAAAATTGATTATTATTTTTTTATTTAATAAATATTAATGAAAGTGTTGATTCTTTAATTTCTTTTTTTTTTAAGTTAAGAAATTTTGATTTATTTCTTCTTTAATAATATCACATTCTTTTGTTTTTACATAAACTATAGTCAAAACTCTCAAATAATATTTAAAATAATAAAGGAAGTTATTTGATTTTAAAACAAATGAATTTCTTTGAATTATCATAGAAAGATAATATTCTAACCTTTAATTATTCAATATAATATCAAGAGATTATTCTTTTTAATACATTATAAATATTACTTGAAAAATAGAAGAAACTCTAAGTTATAATATTTTTTAATAAAAAGGAAAAGAATATAAGTTCTACTTATACTATCATTTTAAAACAAAAAAAAAACATTAATTTTAGAATATGTTATTTAAAAGATAGAAAAACTATAAAAACATTAAAATGAAATTTATTGTCCTGCTCTTCATAAGTTATGTTTTGGCACAAGACTGTGATGGTGATGATTGTGAAATTGCTATTGAACAAGACCATACATACTTGACATATGGAAGTACTTTTAAACTTCGTCATATGATGACAGGAATTAGGTTACATTCACTTCTAGTTACTTATGGAATGGGTTCAGGTCAACAAGCTGTTACTGGTCTTCAAGACCTTGATGACGTTGGTTCATTGTGGACAGTTAGGTGTGCTAATAAAAAATGTAAATCAGGGTTTGTCTTTTTATAAACTGCAAGAATTTACCTTTTCATTTAGATAACTTAGAAACTAATAGTGCAGAGAAGTCATTAAAAATGGTGATGAAATAATTTTAACACATGTCTCTACAAAAAAGAATTTACACAGTCACAAAAAATTATCTGAAATTACTGGTCAACAGGAAGTAAGTTGTTTTGGAAATAATGGTATTGGAGATCATGGTGATGTTTGGATTGTTGAGTCTGAAAAAGGACAATATTGGGATTTGAATGGATATGTACGTTTAAAACATAGTGATACTAATATGTATTTAAATTGTAACCCTTATGCTAAGGTTTGTAAGTAATTATTTATTAGAATTAAAAATCAAAAAGATTTAATTAAGTAGTATGGAGGTCCTGTGTCTGGACAACTTGAAATTACTGCTATTGCTACTAAAACCGAAAATACAAAATGGAAAGCAGCTGAAGGTTTTTATTTACCAGCTTCGTCCAAATAATTCATACCTTTTCAGGATATTAATCATAGATAAATTAAGATTTTTTTATTCTTTTCTTAAAAATAAAAATATTCTTTTATGAAATAAAAAAAAAGGAATAAAAGAAATTGCAAATCAATAAAACAAAGTTAATGTTAATTTATTTTAATCTTCTTCTTCTTCTTCACTACTTTCTTCTTCTTCTTCACTACTTTCTTCTTCTTCAATTGGCATTCTATTCGGATTAAAATATTCTTCTTCACCTTCTTCATCACTGTCTGGAATATCAAACATTTTAGCTCGTTCTTGTTCCCTTTTCTCTTTTATATTTTCATCAGTTTCAGTATATGCTTTTTGAACATTAAGAACATCTTCTAAAGTCTTACATTGTGTATATTCTTTAATAACTTTTTTATTAATATCTAAGAAAGTCTCTCCCCATCCAAAGACTTCCATAATGGATTGTGCATCTTTCATAAATCCACAAATGGCTAATGCACCTGCAAGAGCTTCAGCACAATTTAATTTAAATGGTCTTCCAAAATTAACTGGATTTCCCGCCATTAAAAAAGGCAAAAACCTACCATTTCTATATTTTAATCGTTTAACTTCATTTACCCCTCTTCCAGCAGAATATTCATTCCAACTACAATCAATAACAGCAACACCATTTCTAGCAATAATTTCAGCATCAGCAGGTGTTAATAAAGAAGCGGATGAATCAGGAGTTAAACAAATACCATGAAATGAAGCATTAATAGGTAATGTTTTAACTAACTTTTGTCGAACTAACTTTCTACCAGAACATCTTTTAGGATCACACTGACAAAAGTCCCACATATATAATTTGATACGAGTATGGTGTTCCATTTTTCTTTCTTTGCTTGTATTGAACTATAAAAAAGCAATTCTCTTTTTTCAGGGTTTGCTATTCTTTCATGTTTCATTTTTTATTGAGTTTTTGTTCTTTTTTGTAACAAAAACATTGATATCTTAGTAATTCATTAATGAGTCGAAATCAAAACATACAAACACCTCCTTTTCATCGTATACAAATTAAAAAGAAAATACAAACTCTTTTAAAGAATGACATCTTTGGGTATGAAAAAGAAATTCATTATCCAATTTATAAAAAAAGTTCTTCACCAATTCAACAATCAGTTAATTTAACACAACAAATAGTAAATGAAAATACTATTCCTCAATCAGTAAAAAGTTTTATTCAAACACCATTCTATTTAGAACGTGTTTGTTATATTTTATTTTTGTTATATTTCTTTATACTATAAAAAAAGTCTAAACAAATTGTTAGAGTGTGTTGATTGGATTATTAATATCATGGGATACTTTTAGTTCATTTTTATTATTCACTCCATTAAGAATCATTTCTTATTTCTATCAATTAATTTTTTTAAATGAAAAAGTGGTAATTCATTATAAAAGAATTTATGATATATTAATGTATCTATCAACTTTATTTTGTGTTATTATAATATATCAAGTTGATATTGGTTTTGTTTATCATTATATACGTGCAGAATCTGTATTAAAATTATATGCTCTTTATAATGCATTAGGTGTTTGTTTTTATATTATTTTTAAAGATTTATTCATTATAATTCAAATGTAGATGTTAAATAGTTTATTATCTGCTTTTACTTTTGATATTCATAGTTCATTATTAATATCTATTAAAAATAAAAAGATGTCTGATTCAATACTCTTTTTTATTTTAACTGTTTTTATTACTTTATTACATTCTTTTAATCTATTCTTTTATATAATGGCATTAAATGTTGCAATTAATTCAAAAGGACATGCTTTATTGGCACTTCTTGTATCAAATAATATTCTTGAACTTAAGTCTTCAGTTTGGAAAAGAATGTTTCCTGAAAATGTATTTCAAGTATTATGTGCTGATATACTCGAGTTATTTGAACTTTTTTCTTTTGTTATTCTTTTATCTTTAAGTAATTTTGGGTATTATGAATGGGATATAGAAAGTAATCCTGATTTATTAATATCAATGATTTATTCTTTATTCCTTATTTTACTTGCTGAAGTTATTATTGATTCACTTAAACATATGTTTATTGGTAAATTTAATAATATTCCTTTGTCTATTTATGATAAAGGTAAATTCGTTCTTTTGAATGATTTAATCTCAACACAAGACGTTTGTTTATTTTATTCTTATTTTTTTATTTGTTTCATTCTTTTATTAAATTAGGGACTATTCAAAATTCCTTCTCTTGATAGCACATCAACTTCTGCTAGAAGGCTTGGAATGCCTGCTGTTCCTCTTAGTGTTTTATTTATTTGTTTTGGGCTAGAAACAATACCACCATCTCATTTTAATCTTCTCTTTATTATTTCATTACTTTTAATACTCTATTTGTTCAAAATTCTGTTAGCTATTGCATTACGATATTTAGCTTTTACTGAAGTAACTCAACACACTTATGAATCAGATAATCTTGTTACAGAAATGAAAGGGATAGCTCGTTATGTTATGGAAAAGGGTAGAATTCCCCAATAATACGATTCATTCTTTGAAAGTAAATTATTTTGAGAAGAATCTCATTAATCATTTGAAACAAAAAGACATTGTCAAAAAGATGAATTTAAGTGACAGTATTTGAGGTTAGACAAATTAAGCTTTTTCATAAAAACTAATAATATCACTCATCAATTCATTCATTATTTCTGGTGGAAAATCATCTAAGTGTCTCTGAACTATTTCATTTAACTTTTGTTCTGTCAAACGTTCTGGATGAACTCCACTTTCAGTGAGTGTCCTAAGATCTTCTATTTGATAAATACAAAAATTTAATTATGAATAAATAACAAAATGTAAAACCTCCTATTTTTCCAATCATATATTGTCTCCACCCACACTCTGATAATTTATTGTAACTCTTCATAACAATAGCTTCTGAAGCTGGATTTTGAACAAAATATTCAACTTGATTTGTTTCAAGATTTGTTGTCATGCTTTGGCTTATTTTTCAGTTCCATCTATTTAAATTTTTCAGTTCCATCGAAAAAAAGAAATATATTATTATTATAATAAAAAAAGTCAATTACTAGATATATTCACGATTCGATTTTCTTTATATTGAGAACTGATTATTCCAATTTCTTTAATATGTTCTATTTTTCTCATAGCATCTCTTTTCTATGTATTTGCATTAGATATTATTGTCATAATAAGTTATAAAACAGAAAACTAAATATTAGAGAAATTTTTTAATTTACGATTAGTTTTTTGATTGGTCAATTTTTTATTATGTCATCGTTTTTTTATTTTTAGATATAATCCATATTTAAAAAATTTCATTTTTTATTTTTAGTTTAAAAAGTAATAAATTAGTTCAAAGATTTATTGAAATCGAAAAAGAAGAAAAATTGAATGAGTAAACAACATATAATAATATCTGTTTAGTATTATTTTAAGAATAAATATAATTAATTCATTTTATACCAATAAATAATGAATTTATTATGGCTAAAGAATTAAATAGAAGCTGCAGTAATAAAAAGAAAAAAACTCATAGCATAAAAAATTTTTGTTTTTCTTTTTTATTAATTGCCTTTGAAGTTATATTTGAAATTAAATATTT